CTTCGTCGTCTTCGGACAGACTGAGAACCTCCTGCTCCATCTGCAGAACATTGTCCTCCTCTTGGTTTAGATCCAGTAGAAACTGGGTCTCGCCCCCTTGATGTCAGGTGAGGCCGCCTCGTGCTCCATCTGGTCCGCCCAGCTAGCAGTGGGGGCTTCGACTGCCGAATCCTCGTCTTCGTCGGACTGAGCCGTCTGGCTGGATTCGGAGAGCAGCGGGTCTCATCGGAAAACAGCAGTTTCCCCCAGCATTTTCTCCAGGAATTTCACTCTCCAGTGTCGGACGCGAAAGTCCGGCACAGGCCCAGCAGGACTTGGTCTCCACAAGCGACCGTTGAGCGTGAATGATTCCTAGGCAGGCTGGGCAGGCCTCATGCTGGTCCTTCTCATGAAGCTTAAAGCCGCACCCCTGAGGACAGGGGTGAACAGAAGACTTCGGCTTCTTCGAAGGTGGTTTTGTGCTCATCGTGAACCACAAAACAGACTTTCAGCAGAAAATAAAGGTCACTTAAGTAGCGTCGAGCGGCAGACACACAAACCAGCAGGTAACGCGGTTAGCACCAGTAAAGCTAGCCTTAAGAACCTTAGAAGCTGAGCTAACTAGCAGCAGCTATGTGAGCTCAGGTTTAGAGGTGACTATCGCGAGGTGAAGGGCGATAGAACTCAGTAATGACGCTGGTGACTCCGAACTTATAGGGTGAAGGCGGAGCCTGTCACCCGATGTTCAACGTCACCACGTCACCGGTCTAAAGACGTGATTAGAGGTGGCTTTAGCCAGGCGCATGAGGGCACGCGTGTCCCATATACAACTGTGTGTTGTACTGAGTGAAATGACTGAAAAGGAACTACATTGTAGCCACAGCTTCAAACTGTGCTAAATTCTGCCAAGAGCAGACTGTTACTTCTTCTTTTTCTACTGACAGAAACAGGAGGTCACCTTAAGGGCAGAAAGTCAATCTGAGAACAGCCTTGACAGAAGGCCAATCTGGATTAGTCCTACTTCTATAATTCTTAAATATTATCTTTTATTTCAGAGCAGATCCAACACTTGGGTCAGTATGAACTCAGTGCTTGCATGTGTCCTGATGCACGCTCAATAATCCAGGTAGAAAATAAAACAAGGTTGAGCCAAATTCTCTGAACGTCTCATTTTTTTAATCCAAAAGACGTCACACTTCCTTTAGACTGAAGAAGTCTTTTGGTTAAAAGACGAAATGTTTCAACAAAGAACTCGTCCAGAGGACCTGACTCAACCTTGTTAGATTCATTAGGTAGAGTATGCTGGTTCTGGAGAAAGTGCTAACATCCTGTTTTTGTCTTTGAAGTAAATAACGTTTTGTGAATTTTAACAATAGTAGCTGCTCATCAGTTCACTGTGTTTACTGTCTCGTTTGCAGTGGTTTTTCCCCCTCAAGTTCCTGTCGTGTGGAAGAAGCAGAAAAAAGACATTTTTCCATCATCTGTGTTTACCATGCCACCTGAGCTGAATGTATCTCTGCTCCTGGAGTTTGTTGGGTAAGATCTTAAGCATTTATGCATTTATGCAGACCTTAATTCTCCATCATTATTTTATTCTTAAAGTTTTAATAAATTCATTCTGTTGTTTATGAGACTATTGTCTGATAGAACAAATGAACACACACATTCGCTCCTTTACCTTTGCTAGTTGGTGGTGGTACATCCCCGTTTGAGCTTTACTGAATGAATGAAAATTGAAGGTTTATGTTTGAGCTGATCATCTAAAATATATTATTTTATTAATGTTTTGTTTTCAGGGCTGAAGAGGGCATTTGTGGCTATAAGGTAAATATTTAATTTCAGTTTATTCTGGTACGTTTTATAATTGTTGTCATTTATATCAGTATCAACATAAAATGTTTAAAGAGGCTGCCCAGTTATGGACAGGACTTTAGTCTTTGGATTGCATCAGTGTCTGACAAAAAAAAAACACGATTCAGCAGAAATTCAGGAAGATGCTTGAAAGATTTGTGGATTTATGCTATTTATACTATTGACTATTGCACACCCTACTGTATGTAGCTGATATTAAATTTTTTTAAGTATTAAATTGTAATGTGAAAATTAAACTGCCACATTTGTGGAGTTTTCATCCTTCCATTGTCTCTGTTTAGCTACTGGAAAGGCGATACGTTTGTGTGTCGGGGGAGGCCACCATTCGCCACGTGGAGCTGTTCATTCGAAAGAAAATGGATCTGTGTCATACATGTCAGGTTAGTTATTAACAATGCATTTGATTTATCTCCAACAAGGCTTCTGTAATGAGGGGTTCATACGTCAGTATATTCAGTAAAGCCCCCCCCCAAATTTCACTTTTCCCATGTTCATTTTTATAAACTTTGCATTTTCCGTTTTTTTTTCCTTGCAATGCAACATTTTCATTCTAACCATATTTATAAATCTAAAAAGTCCGAAATTAATAAATGACTGAAAAATAATTTCTATTATTATTATTATTATTATTATTGTTTGTGACTAAACTACCAAATAAGGTCAGGACTTACCAACTACAATTTCCTTGTCCTTATTCTCCTCTTTCTCTGGGTCAGCCTCTGGCTCCAACATGTAAGGCTGGATGGACAAGTCTTCCCTTGTTGACATCTTTTAAGTAATTTGTAAATAAAATATTTCTGTGCTGCTAGATAGACGCTACCCGCTCTATCAGTTTATAATAGACCCCTCTGGAAGCTTGAGGGTGGGCAGGGTTGTGAAGTGCCTGTTTGGATTTAAAAGAACAGCATCAAAACGAGTTGATCTGAGAGACACCTCAGAACTGGGGTGAAATAGGGGCTTTGAGTGGAAGTGGTCATCGCATGCATTCTTACGCATCCAGTCGATCGTGTGCAGACAAAACTTACAGAAACGTTTTTGTCCAGATTTTATAAAGATCATAGGGCTATTGTTCTGTTTTAAACTTTGTGCTAAGCTTTGCATTTTTTATTTTTATTTTTGTGGACATTGGTGTTTCTGCATTTTTTTTTTTTTTATGTCTGTGTGGAGATGACAGCCCACCTTGGGTAACCAGGTAACAGCAGGTACAGTGAGTGGCAGTGGCCAAGATACCTCTGAAACTTGCCCAAATGAACAAATTCTCTCAGATTCCATATTTTGTACTGGATTTTATTTGTTTGGTAAATTCCGTGATTCTGTCCCTGTTTTTTGAAATCATAGGGCCCTAGATGGGTAAAAATTAACAGCTTGTACTAATTTCCTGCCACAACCAGTCAAAGCAAACATGGAGCTCACTGTTTATTACACATCATTCAGTGATATCACCCTTTGTTGTTTTATCTGTCTCCTTCTACTTTTTAAAATAAAATACTGTAAAACATATATTAATGGGGCTGCATTATTGGCACCTTTACCAGTTAGACTGAATAAAAAGCCTTCATAATACACAGTGGTGTAAATTAGGGCTGTGTATTGGCAAGAATTTGGTGATACGATACATATCATGACAGAGGGGTCACAATACGATATATCCTGATTATATTTCGATACTGTAAACAAGGCGATATATTACGATATTTTTGGTCCAAAAATTCTATTAAATAAAAACCTCTTACTGGGAAAAAAAAACAAAACAAAACGAAAAACTAAAATTCACTGTCTCAGAAAATTCTAATATTATATAGACATTTTAATTGTTTCATATTTCTTCCATGTTTTCAATTATTAGACTAAATTTGCCAATAAATAGTTTGAAAATATATTTTTTGCAGCTTTTCGTTTTTAAAATTAATTTACAATATGGTCACCCAGCACTTAACAGTAGCGTTTATGTTGTCATAAAGTTCAGTAAACAGATGATAAGAAGCTGCTGCACAGAGTTTCTGGGATCAGCTGACCTGCATCCTGAACCTGATTTGTATAACTGTGGGTCGAACAGCAGGGCAGGTCCTGAAGAAAACCAGTTAACAGCAGGACAGGTCCTGAAGAAAACCAGTTAACAGCAGGGCAGGTCCTGAAGAAAACCAGTTAACAGCAGGACAGTTCCTGAAGAAAACCAGTTAACAGCAGGACAGTTCCTGAAGAAAACCAGTTAACAGCAGGGCAGGTCCCGAAGAAAACCTGTTAAGAAATTGAGAAGCTAAACGAGTTAAACCGTTTTTGAAGCGAACACAGCAGGATAAACTTAAAGTATATGGACTTTGATGTGATCATCAGCCGGACATTAGTATGTTTACATGCACAAAATTTTTTAATCGGATTGAAATGTATTCAGATTAAATAATCCTAATGTACTGTTTACATGGACACAATCCGATGATGAAAAGTGTTTACATGCACCGGAGTTTTATTCAGAATAAAAGTCCGGACATGCGCAGTGTTGTAAACTTTCAGCTCTACTTCCGTGTTACAAACGTAAACAACGCTCCTCTGTGCGCTCAGGACGGACCCGTGTCAGCTTTTAATAATGATAGAGACGCCGTTACTCCTCGGTTGAGCTGCAGCCTGCAGATGAAGCAATACGTGCTTTTTATTTTTATGTTTTGCGAAGCAACGTCTGCTGTTTGCCTCCTTTTTCATCTGTTAAGAGAGCGTGGGGGAAAAGTTCTGCGTGGTGCTGCGCAGCTGGAGCGCTGCTGTCCCACCTCCTCTAACCGGGTGAATGAAAGTCAGCAGACATGCGCACACAGGTCCGTTTTCTACAATCAGAATAAGATGATCCGATTAAGTGTTTACATGAACGTCATTCCGATTATCAATCGGCATAACCCACCCTTTTCATTCGGATTAAAAATTCATTSGGATCYAGCTCAYTCYGATCAGAATAATCYGAACYGGCTGTTTACATGACYCATTTTTATTCCGAACGGKTGTTTAATCCGATTACTTTTGTCCATGTAAACGTAGCTATTGACAGAGCAACAGACAGAGTTTTATGTCACGAGGGGAGTGCCGAGCTCGCTCGAGGTGATAGACGCATGCGCTGTATGCATAACATGAAAGCTGACTACAGTTGGAAAAAAGAGCGCACAAGACACTTAATTTGGCTTAAAATACAGACATTCTGACAAATAAGAAACTGTTTGTAACCTTACCTCAGCTTAGAAGGCAGAGGGTGTCGGTCTTTTCTGCTCAGATTCAGCTATCGGAGCATGAAGCTAATGTTTACTAACAATGCTAATTCTCTCTTACTCTCTGGCACTCAAGAGGTAGAGGAGCCAAGTGGRTGGCTCACTGCTGCCAACTAGTGGTCAGAGGCTGAACTACAACATAAAAATGAATGGCTGGCAGGAAAGTTGACATTTTAAACCTTAAAAAATTGATACAAGGCTTTAGAATATCGATACTGTATCGGGAAATGAAATATCGCGATATTTCAGTGTATCAATATTTTCTTACACCCCTAGTGTAAATGTTTGCTTCCTGCAGGTGGATATAGTTTGTGGAGATCACCTCCTGAATCACAGCCAGTTACTGAAAGACATACAGAACTCTGTGGGCAAAGACGCACTACAGGTAAGAAATGAATTGCAGCTGGAACAGTAGCTTGAATTTCTAATGGAAGCTGTGAAGTAATTATTTTCTGGTCCTTGTTGCTTCTTATTTCAGGATGGACTGTTGGTGCTGCACTTTGGTCTGGTTCGGCCCTCCCAGTCCTGAACACAAGGTTTTACTTTTTTGGGCTGCTGCTTTTTTATATTTAGGAGACAAATGTGTATTTCTCCAATAAACAAGTATTTACTAAATGCTTTAGAACTGTCCTGAATGTGATGATGGAGCTGAAATTATTTTGTTTTTTGATACAATATTTGATTAGACTTGTGACCTGAATTATCTGTTGAAGCAGGTTGCTGACAATACTTAGTTCAGTACTGGAGGGAGTCAAAGAATTTTTGATTTGTTAATGTTCAGTCTGCAGTTATAAACATGAAATAAATGTTCACATTAAGACAACACTTGTCTGCTGTACATTTACAATACACAAGTTATTTATTTACTGAAGCTTGAGCATTTAAAATAAGTTGCTATGTAGATACTGATTTATTGTTTTATATCCAATATAAGAGAAAACGTCCAAACAATGTGAATGAAGCCAAAAAGCTCCTGTTTTCTCTTATGAGTTCCAGAAATTTTGGGTCTTGTCAACATTTTGGCATTTTATGTGACTTTCTGTTATTAATAAAACCCTCCTAGGTTTTCTTCGATTCAAAATGTGAAAAATTGTGCAATCAGAAAGTCATGTACTCTGACCTTGAAGTTCAGCTTAAATGCTTTTAGATGGTTTCATCTACGCTTTTTCTACCATTCTCACTTTCCGTCTGCTCAACCTGGGGCTGCATTTTGTCTTGCGTTCATTTCCTGGGAAGTTTTCTTCAGTCTCATGAACCTTAAACTTTTTTAATAGTAAGGCCTTTTTGCACTGCAAGGCCCAGCCCGGCTTCAAACCCAGGTTCAGCGTGTTTGCATTAGCCCTTATGGACCAGTTCCAGCCCAATTTCTGGAACTAATTTGATGTCAGCTACTGCTGCTCATTGATTGGTTCACTTATTGGGAGTGTGGGGTGTGATGGGTATGGAGATAATTTTGTTTTTTATTCAATCAAACAAAAAGCAGCTTAAATAA